CTACTATCTCCCTTATTCACTGTCCAGCTTTCACATCTATATGAGGTTATTGAAAATACCATGGCTTGGGTCAGGCACACCTTACTCCTCAAGCTGACATCCTTGCTCTTCAACACTTTAAAAAGTTCCTGTGCAGCAGATTTACCCAATGCAATACGTCATCTGATCTCTTGACTGCTGCTTCCACGAACGTTGATAGTTGATGCAAGAAGAATGAAGTCCTTGACAACTTCATTCTTTTCTCTGTTGATAAGAATGTTGTTTATTGGTCCAGTGGTGAGGATTTTGTTTTCTTGACATTGAGATGCAATCCATACCGAAGGCTATGTTCTTTGATCTTCATCAGTAAATGTTTCAAGTCCTCTTTGCTTTCAGCAAGCAAGGTTGTATCATCTGCATATCGCAGGCTGTTAATGAATCTTCTCCAATCCTGACGTCATGTTTTTCTTCGTAGAATCCCAGCTTCTCGTATTATTTGCTCAGCATACAGGTTGAATAAGTATGGTGAAAGAACATAACCTTGTCGCACACCTTTCCCAATTTTAAAACATTCAGTGTTCCTATGCTCTGTTCGAACAACTGCCTCTTGGTCCAGGTACAGATTTCTCAGAAACACAATTAAATGTTCTGGAATACTCATACTTTGCTGTTCTTGTGGGGAGTTCAACCAAGTATTAGGTCAAGAGAAAACATCCAATTATTTTTCCACACATGTGTCTACTAGATATCTCAGGTATGAAATTAGTCCCAAGCAAAATCTGAACATTCCTGTTCAGATAGGACTAGTGAGGGTAGAGGGAGGTGTGGTGCTGAGGGCTAATGCGCTGGACTACAAGGTTGGTTTGAACCACAGGTCGGTTGTTCAAGCTCAATAGCTACTACTCACAAACCCTGTACAGGGTCACTATGAGCCGGAATGTTCTTGACAGTACTTAACAACAAACAAACAACAATCTCACCATAATCACTGTACCATGTCACAGTATAGGAAAGCTACAGGTATGTGGTGGAAATATGCTAGAAGAACAGAATACTACTGTGGTTTGTCCTAGATTGGTAACTGGACCTGTGATCTTTGTTGTTGTTCTTATGTGCCGTGGAGTCGGTTCCGACCCATAGCAACCCTGTACAGGGTTTCCAAGGCTGTAAATCTTTACGGGAACAGATAGCCTCATCTTTCTCCCGCGGAACAGCTGGTAGTTTTAAAATGCTGACTGTGGTGACATTAGCAGCCTGATTCGTAGTCTTTAGCCAATCATTTTATATTTCATTCGGTCTCAGACTTTTTAAAAAAACTTTTTGTTTTATTATGTCCCCAAGGAAAAGCCCCTTTATAAAAGTTAATTTCAAAGAATACATTTCAAGAAGTAAGGTTGAGCTAAAAGGAGACAAGACTGAGAAAAAAATCACACTGTTATTGTCTAATTCTGACTCTTCATGAATATCTCCCAAAATTTACACCTAATTCACAGTGAACTTTTATAGACATGGTTTCTAAATCTCCCTTTTGTTTTGCCATAAAAGGAAAAAAAATATTTAAAGCAGGTTTATTTTACGAAAATATTCTTTTCACTTGACTCATCGACCTGTAACATTCAGGTTTCTATTTAAAACAAACAAACAAACAAATATACAAAATAGTTTTAGGTCAGAGTAGAACTGTACTCTTTACGGTTTTCAATGGCTGACTGTTCAGAAGCAGACTGTTAGGTCTTTCTTTTCAGGTACCTCTGGATGAACTCGAACTTCTAACCTTTTGGTTAGCCTCTGAGTACGTTACACACCATAAAGGGTTTACAAAAAGTTTTTTGTTTTATTTTAAGGAAAAAGTCTTTTTATTCATATATTCAATTTATATCATCTACAATATTTGAAATACCACAAATCTACCCTACAAATACCTGAATTTCTTTTATGTTTTTATATTGATATTTAACATGAAATAGTAAGTAGCTATTTTTAAGCCAAAAGTTTTTGAAAGAGTTTATAGATGACTCATTATATATAAAATGTATAATACATGCCTATATATGCATGTCCTGCTAAAAATATTGTGAGTATAGCTAAAGTAAGACTTAAGGATGTATTTATTAACATGAATCGTCAGTGCTAGGAAACTAGTGACTTTTTAAAGGATTAAAAAGATGTACCCCTTTTGTTAGAAACCATAGTCACAACTTATAGGCAAAAATATAACTCTGTATGTGTATCTTATAGCAATGTTTTTCTGCTGAGAGTCCAGAAAATAAGCAGGCTAAATTCATGTACTAGACTCCAGAATCCAAAGGATAATCACACAAGATCATTTTTAAAGTCCTGTTATATCTTGATAGTTGAGGATCTATTATTAAAATATTCAAGTTGTGGAGTCCTGGTGTAGCATGGTAGGATAAGCACTGGACTGAAAGGTCAGTTTGAACCAGAATGTCAGCGATTCAAGCTCACCAGCTGCTCTTTGGGAATCCTATATGGGGTCGCTAGGGATCCGAACTTACTTGAAGGCACTTAACAATAACAACAACACGTCTTACCTCAATCAGAATATATGGGTTTAGCATAGAGCATGGAATCTCAACCTGGGCACTACTGACATTGTTGGTTGTGATTCATAGCAACCCTGTAGAGAGGTTGGTGGGTTTGAACTACTGACTTTGCAGTTAGCAGTCTGGTGCTTATCCTATACTTAATCCTTTGTTGTGGGGCCCAGTCATTACATGCCAGTAGCACTTTCTCACAGTTGTGAGAACTTCCAGACACTCTCAAATATCTCCTGGGCTTAGGGTGGGGTATCATCCCTGGTTGAGAACCATTATCATTAAAAGTACATATTGATTCAGGCTATTTGAATCTACTGCCAAATTTCACTGAAACTTTTCCTGACCCTTCTAAAAATATGTAAAAATGTTTCATTTTCTAATCTGGTAGTAAAACAGGGAATATATAAATAGGTATGATGCTTATTTCTCACATTATTATTTTTAAGAGACATGAAAAGCAAAAAATTTATTTATGTTAAGAAGTGCCAAGACATATAATTGTAACTAGGGAAGTAAATATAAGACAGATGTTGTTGCTGTGTTAAGTGTCTTTGAGTTGGTTCTGGTTCATAGGACCCCTGCATAGGGTTTCTGAGGAGTGGCTTGTGGGTTTGAACTGTCAACCTTGCAGTTAGCAATCCAGTGTTTATACTACAGCACCACACTAGGACTCCTATAAGAAAGATAGTCTATTGAAATTTCTCATAATGGAGTTCTAAAATGAGAAACTTGACTAATAATTAACTTGCTACATTATTTTATAGCTGTAGTTCATAAAACACATGGTATATTTCCATGTAAGGAGGCTCTATAATGAGTAAATGGTCACCAGGTGTGCTCTGTTTCCTCTGCAGTCAAGGAATGAGGCATCAACTGCAATTGGAGGCAGACTTAGCTATGCACCCATGGAGGAGCACTTCTCAGAAGGAGCAGGAAAGTCATTATCCGCAAGTCCCTAACAGTGGCTCAATGGCACTGCCCTGCCCTGCTGGTTATGTCCTTAGCCTCCAGGAGCCTAAAACTATTGTAAACAAGTGTGGCATGGAGTATCTGGTCTCTCCAATTTCTAGTTATTTAGGGAGGAAGACCAAGAGAAGAGTATTTCTAAGTTCCAATCATTGTACAATGTTACTTAGTTCAACAAGAATTTCTCTGAATGCTTCCAACCAAAACAGACCTAACAATTTCAATTGTAATGGAGTATGGCTGCCATAGGGCTGGGCTCCATAGCAACCATCTCCTGTTAGTCCTAACAAGTTTCAAGATTATGGGCTCCAGACCTGCCTCCACTCCCTATGCAAAAGGTACCATTCCCATCTGAAGTTGAATAAATGGGTCTCTCTTCCATTTCAGAAGAGGAAACCGTCTTATTCTATATTTTTATCATGATTAGCAGACAGTTTTATAGAGGATCACCTTGCTTTAGTGGAGCTTGTGATATTAAAATAGATTATTATCATTTTTTAAATGTACTGGAAAAGCTACTTTGCTTTAAAAAGAATTTTTCATTGTGCAAAAGAACTTGTCACAGGATTCCCATAAGTGGCAAATTTCTCTTAACATATTTAAATGTAACACTCAGGGCTCCGGGGATACACGTATCGGGTAAATTGAACCTTACCTGTGTGTACTTTCAGGTATGGATTTTTGCTGTGTATTTTCAGTTTTTGCATGGGTATTTTATGGACACACTTATTAGAAGAATATGAGAAATGCGTTTCCCTAGATTGATGAACACTTTTTGGCAGTGAGTGAGTGGAGTAACATTATAAAAACAACACAATATGGATTCAGGTGGATCCATCTTCTTCAGAGACTTGAGTGCCGGTGAGCAGCAGACTGGAAAACACATTCTTCCAGGTCACATTCAGCAGGTGACTCTGTGGTAAGAGGACTCCTGAAAATCTACTTCAGGTCAAAAGATTCTGGTTTTATTTCAATATAAAAACGTCCACTTTCAGTCCATAAAACTCCTCTAACACTTCCTTACTCATAAGAAAAATACATTGGAATGAGCCAACAAAAATGAAGCAATAACAACCGTGAAGGTTTACTTAGTTAAAGCAATCATATGTACCATGAGTGCATTGATAGTTACCAGCTACATAATTCAACCCATTGAACTATATACACATTTAAAATTAGGTAATGAATGAAATAGACCTTTCTACACAAATGGTTGTAGAATTGTGAGAGTGAACTCAACCTTGTTACATTATTCTCATGGCCAAGAGTGAACTTGTGACTAGGCTGCCTTACCTCCTATGGAGATGATGGCATCGAAGCCCTGATCCCTAAAGGGAAGATTAAGGTTGTCACATACCATGACTTCACATCCTCTATTCCGGGCAATCTCTACCAATGGCCCACAGTAGTCACAGCCCAGGGTATATACCTGGCTGTTCACTTTAAGATACTTTCCAGTCCCACAACCTAAAAAAGGAAAAGAATGTCAACTAACTTGTCTAGTAACAAAGAACCTAAGCAAGTTTATATTAAATAACAAAAATAGAACACAACATAGTGTGAAGACATTCACACAAACATAAGAAAGCTTTCTGAGAACACATATATTTTTATATGGAGACTATAGAAAACAAGAGAAAAAGTTGATAGAGAACAGGAAATAAAATATGTTGGTCATTTAGTGAGGTAATGGTCACTGGGCTAAGCACATTGTAGCTCAACCAATGTATCTTAGTGGACCCACAATAGGGTATAAAACTTTCCTAGTATCCTGGAGACTGCAGGCTCTGGACATCAGTTACCTTTACATGAGGATTTTATAACACATATGTATTCAAGGGGCTTCAAAAAGCTAGTAGAAAATGATAATAAAAGATCACTGAAATTTTCCACAAACTTTTGAAGCCCCCTCTTATAGATTATGACATTTGTGCTAAAGATAGTCTCCAGACATTCTTACTCTTGGATGTCAACAGGAGTCAACTACTATCTGCAGCTTTTCCAAGGATATAAACAAAATAATTTCTCAAATAAAGTATCACTTTATCAAATTCATTGTGAATGCTGTGTTTTAAATGATTTGTGTTAACTCAGTGTACAACTGTGACAGAAAGCTATTTTTTTCCTTAAATAGACCATTTTTTACATTCACATTCCAGTGGCAGAGACCCACATGAATCAAGATTTATGAAGCCCAAAGATTTAGATCAATTGTATCTTAGTGATACTAATGAAGAAGGTAATAACATCAGTGAATAACCATCTTAAACTAAGCTTTCATCCAGCACTTAGTATTAAATTCTAGCTCAGACATATCATCCAATTCATTCCAGAAATATGTAAAGATACAAACTGGATATTTATATCTACAGGTATGGTGTGGCACTGTGGGTAAATGTGCCAGTCTGCAAATCTATTTTAACTGCAAGGTCGGTGGTTCAAGCTCAACAGGTGCTCCTCGGAAACTGTATACTGGGTCGCTATGGGTCGGAATTGACTTGATGGCACTTAACAAGGTATTAACTATATATGTTTTCTGACTCAAAGAAGGATCTACAGCTATTTAAAGATGGTCAGTATACTACTTCTGAAATGTATTATGACAGTCTTTGATAATTTCTCTTTCATAAGTGCTCTTCAAAAGTACATGAGGCAATAAAAACATAATTAAGGCTCATTGGTGCCAGCTGAGACAGTGTAGAGTCTGCGGGTAAAAAGTTCCCAACATTATTATTTCAGTATTAATAATTAGGCCTTTGAAACATCTGAGACTGAACAGTCACCGTTCCTAATGGTTGGGATGAACCCCATAGGGTTTCCAAGGCTGTGATCGTTATGGAAGCGGACTGCCACATCTTTCTCCTGAAGAGCAGCTGGTGGGTTCAAACTGCTGATCTTTTGATTAGCATACAGTCGCTTTAGCCACTCTTCCACCAACACTCCTTATTTGTAGGCAGTCATGGAAAAATACAATTCACAAAGTATTTTAAAATTAAAATCCTATGTTTCAGAGATGATGGTCATATATTACAAAAATAATCTTGGAAAACATTTTTTCTATCTCTTTTTATTGGTTCAGGGGATACATTTAGAGAAATTATGGGGAAATTAGTTCAAAGATACTACTCAAAACAGTTCATAGACTACTGAAGCTTGAAGGAATTGTTCAAAAAGCAACTGACAATAATGAGAAAACAGGTCTTTGCAAATCAAAACAGTTCCTGACACATTTCAAATGCTCCTAGTACCTTTGGTTCATCCTGTATTGATTTCCAATGGCATTCATTCTTAATGGCAGTAATGCAACTACCAAATATGTTGCAATTACCCATTTTCTATATATTGGGATAATTCTATTTCATTATCCAAAATACTGGGATGCTAGAGAGGGGAAGATCTTATCCTAAAGAGGGAATCAAGAATATTGTAAGGTCTAGTCACCCATTGTCTTAAGTGTGTAAGAAGTACGCTAGAACAGGTATGATACTGCTGCAAGCTCCAGTATGCAATATTCAAGCTTCTTTACTGAATCTCATTAAATGATAACCTTTCACAGAACAAAAGATAGATAAGGCAAAGTGGCTGCAGGCTTACATGCTCCTTTGTTTTGTATTCTGCACCACATCATGCTAAAGAAGACAGATCATTGCCTCAATTCAATAAGATGTTTTGGTTCATAGTGGGCAATTATTTGTTGAAAAGAACTAAATTAATCTGACTGTTTTCTCTAAACCTTACAA